AAAAAAAAAAAAAAAAAAAAAAAAGAAATAATAATGAAACTATGGATTTCAAAATGGAATTAGACAATATCTGGCACGGCCTGCAATGGCCCTGGGTGCAAACTCTGGGAATAAGTCTTTCAGTCCCATGAGAATTCAATGTCCTTCTCAAAGGAACAATTTCTTCACTAAATACTATCTGGGTTTTAAAAGAGGGCCAGTAGAGAAAAGTCTAGCTCCAGGTGAAGATCCACCTAACAGAATTATTGCAAGGGCCAATCTTCAGAAGAGTTTACTTTTTGTGGAACATGATGCTCAGTGGCACATCAGGATCTAAAAGGGAGATTTCTCCAAAGATTTTCTACAGCCTTTTAGTGAGAATCCAGAGCAGTCTTTCCTTCTCTCTTTCTTTTTATGTACTTATTTATTCCCTCCCTCACCCATGGAAAATCAGTAGTTTTTAATGGTTAATTGTTGGCTAAACATCTAAAGAATAATTTTCAGTGAATTACTTAAAAATATCCATGATTCTCGTCCAATTTTCTTGGCTGACCAAAATATTTAAAAGGCTGGCTTTTAAAATGTTCCTAAAAATGCTTCTTGGACAATCAATGTAGTGGCATCTCAAATAATTACATTTTTTTTTTCTCTTCCAATTAAACAGACTTATTTCTTCTCTTTCTCCTTGATCCTTTTACCCCCACAGGAAGACCAGCAAAAGTCTAAATGAACATTCAAGACCTGGCGACTGCAGGGAGCTGGCAGTCCAGGGAGGAGATCATGGCACAAGAATGTACTGGGGCTGGCTATTTGGATAACACTGGATAAGAACGCCAAGGTGAAGGGGCATCACACTCTTTCTAAAGTTCCTAGAAGAAAACGGACAAAAACATCTTATTTTTGTAAAAAAGGAGAAAGACATTTACACAAGAACATCAGTGAAAGCGATTGTCTCCTGGAAAAAGCTGACCAGTGTGTCTGATCTCCCTGGGTTAAAGCACACGGCGCAACAATCTCCTCGATGGTGTCTGAAGAGAGGGAGAGAGCATGTGGCTGGGGCACAGACAAGAGAAACTGAAGTCCTGGCTCACGAAGGCCAGCTTCCCAGTTGGCTGCATGCAAAGGATTTCAGCATGTGGGCTGCCACCTCTGAACACCACACAGAAACTACATGAGAAATTAAGCTAGGGAACTACCTCAAATGTGGAAACCAAGCCTGAAAATGTGCAGTGAAAACATATGGGTCTCACTCCAACAAACGTCTTTTAAACATTAGACTCCACAAATGGTCTCTTTGGTTTGATAGGGGATGTCTGCCCTTGTCGAGAGTCCCGGGATAACTGCCGGTACAGGTTGTCCTGGTATGCCTGAGCCACAGGGAGGGTCCGAGCCACCTTCACATCGGGGTATGAGGAGGCCTGGCTGACTCTCTCTAAGAGGTCTCCGCGGGACCCATTTGCCAGCATCCCATGGGGGCTGTAATAATCGTCCTCCAGTAAATGGCCATTCTGTGCATTGTTGGTTTTGTTATAAAAGGCAATGTTGCTGATGGATGATGGTGGGCTGAAGGACTCAGGCTGAGGCAAGTTGCCTGGAGACGTGGGGCTGAGAACGGTATCCACTGATGACACTGCCCAGGTCCGATTCTGCTGGTGGAGGTGGGGGTACTGTTGAGTCCGGGCCGTTTTATCTATGATCCCCATGAATGGTGTGGTCCTGGATCGGGTGGGCTCACTGGGGTAACCTCCCTGAGTGGGAGACACTGGAGACAGCTCATCACATGACCTATCATATGCCGGTTTTAGTGGGATCTCCATCTGTTGAATCGAGGATGATGGCCGGAAGGTAGGAGTTAGGTTGGAGGTGGATGAGATACTATTGCTAGATGGAGAGAAGCGAAGGCCTACGCTCTGGGAGTGCAGCAGTGGCCTGGGAGTTGGAGGATGGGGCTTGATTTCATTAGGGTTGACACCAATAGGTCTTCTGATTAGATGGGACACATCAGGGGAACCTAGTTGGCTAGAGGAACGTTCCAGATCTAGTTTTGAGTGACAGACTGGGTAATAGGATGCGGACTGGCTACGTCCAATCTGTGGTGTCTGGCTGTATCTCATGCCACCTCGATACGCTGAGGAAGGTCGCTGGGGAAGGTCTTCTTTGGTCAGCCCTCCATGCTGACAGATGGCGCCTGCGCTCAGACTGGCCTGGACATGCTGCACAGGCCTCCCATCCCCCACAATCCCCCCAATTGACCCTTGATAAACCAACCGGCTCTGACTTACTCCTATGTCTCCTTGTGAAGACTGGTATTTACTAGCCATTGAGTGGGCTACTTGACCATAGGCCCCTGTGGAGATGACAGTGCTTGAATGAACAGCAGAGCTAGGCTGGTTGCTTCTCACAATCTGGGCCTTAGCAGGCTGTAGCCTGAGCCCTTGCTGGGGAACTGCCACAGGAAGCTGGGGCATCTGGTAGGGCCGCTGGGCCATTTTGGATAATGGAGATTTTGGTCTGCCAGGAAGCTGACTAACATTTGTTTCTTGCTGATAGCGCACGGGTGAGCCAGACTGGGCTCTATAGACACTCATGCTTTCAGCTGGAGGGCTGGCCCGATACTGAGGGCCTCTACGGAGAGGGGAAGGGGGAGGGCTTGGGTATTCTTTGCCCTGCCCTCCCACAGGAGGAGGGCTAAAGCGGTAAGATCCACCCTGATGAGCTGGGGAAGTGTGTGGTGGACTAGGCCTGTAATGAGAGTTCTGGTGAGTCGGAGAAAGAGCAGGTGAGGTGGACTGATAGCTCTGTCTAGTGGGAGAACCTACAGAACTATTGGACCTGAAGTCAAAAACCTGGTGAGAGCCAAGCGGTGAGCTAGAGATGTAAGCAGAGTCCCTATGGGCTGGAGAGGAGGGTGGGCTCTGGATGATTGGGAGCCCCTGGCTGGGCCGTGCTTCTGTCTGGAGGCCGATGGAAACATTCTCAACATCCTGTTCCAGGTACTCTTCCTCGAATATGTCTTGCACAGAGTATATATCTTCATGCTGTGGTTCAGGTTCTGTTTCTTCCGGTAGCTGCTGCTGAGGTGGCTGTGGTGGCTGCTGCTGCTGCTGCTGCATCTGTCTACACTCCTCTTCCACTCGCATCAGAAGTCTCTGGATCTCACGGTTGTTTGGACACAGCTTGATGGCCTCGTTCAGGTCCTCTAAGGCTGCTGCAAACTGTCTGCTTGACAAAGTGTAAACAAAGGAACTGGAGTTATTCTGAATCAACAGGAATCACCCAGAGCTGAGAACATAGTCGCTATTTCAGAGAACTGTGGTAGCATCTGTGGGAGTTGGGGGTTTTTGGTTTCGTTTGATTTGTAAGGAAGGAAACAGGTAGGCTGTCATTCTAGAAGAGTCCAGAATGATTCCCTAACCTGTTCTGCCTCCATCTTCCTTCTGGCCTCTCTGGGGTTAGTGGAGAAATGTCCCCATTCTGTCAGTCCAGCCAGGCCCTTCAGGAAGATTCTCTTAGTGACCAAATGCACACCAGGCAGGATGAGGGTTGGGTGGGGTTGTCATTTACAGGGTCACTGTCAATTAGCTTAGGAACAAAATAGTAACTATAATATTTAAAAATCCAGAATTTTTTCTTTATATTCTTGATATTTTGGCTCCAAGTTTCAGGCCTGTTCCCTCCTGGGCAAGAACCCTGTCCTCTGCCCTTTCTACCCCTCATCCCACACAGTACTATTGCACCTCCATTCCGCTACACTGAAGCTGGGAAGGTTTAAGCTTGCTGACTAGGCAGCTCAGTTTCTAATTTATAAATGAGGACATGAACTGTCAGAGATATTCCCATCCTCTCTATTAATATTGCCCAGAAAAGGAGCAATTGGCGTTGTGGGAAAGGAATTATCCAGTGGGTAAGATAATTTGATAGTCAAGCTTCTGAAGAGCTTTGCTACCCCAGCTGGTAACGACAAACATTACTGCCACTGTCGTCACTGGACTTACCCTGGGTTTGATTTTTAGGACCATATCCTGGCCCTGGTCATATCAGTGAACCTGAAGCAGTTCTTTCCCAGGAAGTTTGGGGGAAGGACGGGATGCTGGGCAGGAGGCATCAAGGACAGTGACAAGTTATCCAAAGATCACTGATGGCAGGTTCTAGGTCTTTCTGGGGCCTTTCCTGCCCACTGGCCAAACCACAGCAGATGGGCATGAGGGATGGAGTTTCTCATGGGTCATCTCAATCCTGGCAGCAAGGACCTCCTGTCTCCATGAGTATGTGGTGTGGATTAGGGGTTTAGGTAAGAAGGAGGTTTGATGCCACCAGACTTGAGAGGAGCCCCAGAAGGAAGACTAAACAATCCAGGGATTCCCCAAATGCCTACAGGAAAAGGAAGAGGAGCCTGTGATGTAAGTGACCCATCCTACTTTCCCCTCTAAAAGGGTCAAGAGGATGTTTGCTTAAGTGACCTCTTCTTAAGTCACCAGTGTCTCCTTATGCTACCTGCTTTGGGGTTAAAAAGTAAATGAGATATGGCAGAGGCTTCTCGGAAGAAGATGCCACTCTCCACCAATGAAACGACATTTTCACCCAGAGCAAAATGCTCTAGATTTCCAGAGCCCCAAAGACTTGCCAACCTTAAGCTGAATATATGCTATGGGAGCCATCCCCAAAGCTTGGCCCTACAAGTCCTCAGGGATAGACACACTTGGGTACATATGCCCCAGGATGGCCTACATTGCCTGGGCCAGATTTTCAGAAAAGAGACCTCTTGCTTTTCACCCTCTCTCTCTCTCTCCTCACCTGCTGCTGCGTTTTGCCCTTGCTCTTGCATAGTAAGCTTCATAAGATTTCGGTTTCAGCTCCAGAGCCTTAGTAGCAAATTCCTCCGCCATTCCAAAATCCTGTCATTACAATAGGTGTGCAAATGAGTCATTGAAGAGATATGAAAAATAGACAACTTGGGAATAACACAGATCATATGTACATTTCTTTGACACTTATGGATGGAACACCTGGGATTCCTGACATGCCTGGTATGGCTCTAGCCACGTGGCCCACAGATTGAAAGTTCCTTCTGCCTTTGCTCTGTGTGGCCCTGCAACTGCTCATGGGAATTTATCTGTCCATAAGTATGAAAATACTTTTAATTTGACTTCTTTCTGCCTCTCTAACAAATTCTCTCTAGCCCAGAAGCCAAATGTCAACCCAATGAAGTGCCTGAAGTTGGAAACCTGAATTCGTTACACACGCGAGTATGAGGCAAGCACACACATATACACCTCAAGTGGAACTTCACCCTACCTCCCACCTCCCGGCTACACCCACTATTCCTTGGTTTCCTAAGGAATGAGTGAAATCTACGAGGATAAGGTCTGCGCTGACTAGATGAAGTAGGGACATTCTCTGGTCTGCTTTGTGATCCTTCAGAGTGTGTTGTATGTTTTTGTTTTGTTTTTTAAAATGTTTTTATTGATTTCAGAGAGAGGAAGGGAGAGGGAGAGAGAAACAGAAACATCAATGATGACAGTTACTGATCGGCTGACTCCTGCATACCCCCCCCACTGGGGGTCAAGCCCAAAACACGGGCATGTGCCCTGACTGGGAATCGAACCATGACCTCCTGGTTCATAGGTGGATGCTCAACCACTGAGCCATGCCACCTGGGCTGTTTTATGTTTTCTCAGCCATACCTACTTCACAGGTAGGATTAAGAGCAATACAGTATTTGAATGCCCTGTACACAGTTCTTGACACATAGTAGATGTTCAGTAAGTGGTAGTTTCCTTTTTATTTCAGAAGGTTTCTCTGGTCTGTTCCTCCTCTTAACTGGTTCCTTACTTAGGAAACATTTAAAATAAAAAAACAAAAGAGGACCATGTCTGTGCCTGGGGTCTGTGCTATGACCTCATCTCTTGATCACTGACGCTCCCGGAGGCACAAAGCTGTAGTTTCACCCTTCCACGGAAGAGAAGTTCTTCCCTCCTCTTTTAATGTCAAAGCTGTAGTACAGCACAGCAACTGCTGGTTATACTTGTGGTTCCTAATGCAGAAAACAAGGCCTTAGGCAGAAGAAAGGCCCTGGGGCATAGATAAAATAAAATAAAAATAATGAGTAATTTTCTACCCAAGACAAAAGACTTCAGTTGCTAAGCAGAGTATCTGGTCATGAGAGGTGATTACTTCTGAACAAATGTGGAGCTAGAGAGAAAGTATTCCATCTTATCAAGGTTGTCTTCTATCCCTACTCCGTTTCCAACCTCACCCTTTTTTTTTCTTTTGAGACAATCATTATGTCTGGAAGATTATTTTTGAGAAGTATACTATTTGCTAGGGAGACAAGGAGCCAGCAGGGTGGCAGCAGCTCCTGCACTCTCTCACCAGCTGGTGTCACAGGAGACCCTGGTGAAGATTCTTCTGTTTCATGTAAGAACCTCACTGCCTCCCCCTAAGCTCTCCCCACCTTCGCACAGGAACCTCTACCACGGCCCCATTCTCCTCAGCACCCAGGGTAACTCTGCTTCTTAGGGTCCTGAGACACTCAAGTCTGTATCAGGGATCCTTTCATCGTCAGGTTTCAGACGGGTGATAGGAAGATCATATACACAAATAATCTTTCTGGTACTGATAGCAGATCCATTGCCACTGAGGCTAAAATCTCACTGTGTACAGCTGAGTTCTTTACTGATAAACACTCCTGTTTGGCTTGGATTATTTTTCTCTCTTGATGAACTGTGAAACCTCAGGCTGGTGGATGTCAGAGATTCCTGACATGATCTTAGCTATTCCCAGTATCTGAGAGAGAGTTCTTGGCCCTAGAGTGTCTGCATGTCAAGGTTGCTGAAGGTTGTATCTGCAAGGCAAGCAAGAAGGACCAAGGACTGCTTGGGAGATAATAAAGGACCAGGAAGAGTTCTAAGATTCTCTCTGCAAAAAGAAGGGACATGGCATGCAAGGACAAAAAGATGAGTAAAGAAGTGAGAAGTTCAAGATTAGCCTTAGAAATTAAACCTTGAAGTTCATGGTCCTGAGCCCTCTTTCCAGTCCATCCATGTGTGACTCGGGGGCCTTCTAGAAAGGAAAGGGATGACTAAAATTCATACCTAATTGCAGCTGGAATTCTAGAAACAAATGCTCTCACATTTTCCCAAAGACCAGAAAGTTGACTTGGGGGCGGGGAAGATGATGACAGTATTCCAATCTCTTTCAGTGGAAATTATGAAAACTCAGAAACCTATACAGTGCCCATAATATTAACTTTTTTAGTTTGAGATGCAGATTGTACTTAGAGTTGATTTCTTTCAAATTGCAAATGTCAGTGCTCTGTGAAGGACAACCAAGTTCCAAATGGGCCAGAGAAGGATCCGGGGCCTGGAATAAGCTAGTGAGTGACGTGGACTGTCAACTTCCAGGGCTGCAGAAAGGAGTTGGGATGATAGAGACTTACGTTCATTTTCCTGCGACATCGAGAGAGGTTGAGGAGAAGAGACACCTTCAGTTCCCGGAAGGTTTTCAAGTCCTCACCAAACCCTTCTCTAGGGAACTTCTTCAGAGCGTACTGGTAGCGCTGGGCAGCCTCCTTTACTTTACCTTTCTAATGGGAGGACAAGATGGCAAAACACACAGTTGGTCTGCTGAGCAGCTAAGTTTGGTCCCACTCCCTTGTTCCTCTCTCCGGTCATTACTAAGGGTTAGCTAACCCTCCCAAACACCAACTAGAGAGTAGGTCTGGCCCTGAATGTGAGAACAGAAGGGGCCTGCCTTTCCTGGCATGGCTGGAGGGGTTATCCAAGACACAAGCCAGAGAAACAAAACTTTGGCAAATGAAAGGCCTGGGACCCCAGCTCCCCAACTGGATTCCTTACAGAACTGAACTCACTCACTCAGGAGCTTTCTCTTGACCTGATCTCCCTGGAACACGTCTTTCCTAGTCCCAAGCACACCAAAGTTATTACTACTTCCTGAATTTTGGCTTGACTGGAAAACTCTCTTGTTTGACGTTCCACCTTGCCAGTCCTCTAGAGAAGTCGCTCTCTTCCTCACAAAGGATGTAGGAGCTAAAACAATCTAGTTGCTGGTTCCCTAATCTCATGGCACAAAATAGTATCAATCAGTTTTCCCGTTTTTGGAAAAGGCCTGGGTAGGGTGGTAGTTGGGAAGTGAAGTTTAGAATTTGTGATTCTATCTGACTATGTAGGAGGGATTTTCCAAGATGAAGTAAATCTATGACCAACTTAGGGACCTGGGACACAGAAGCCTTGAACTTTTCTTATAATTTGTATTTGAAAATCTACAAGCTGAGCTCAGAATGATGCAGGAGGCACCCCCATTCCTTTAGCTGATCTTTTTCTGTTACCCCCACCTTTAGATCCTGATCTATTATTTTCTCTTTAGCACCTCTCATTAGAGAGAGATCTGGAGCTTTCCAAGGTAGAATTCTGAGTGGAAACAGTAGTAGCTCTGCCCATTCTCATTAGGAGATAAGACTCCTTGTCTTAGAATATCAGAAGTTATGTTAAAACCAGGGCTTAGATGCTTGAGGGCAAAGCCATTCTCAAGTCCATAAATATGAGAACGAAAGAGGCCTTTCCTTGAAGTCATGTGAAATCATGGTCAGGTCAGGACTCAAGTTTCCTAGAAGCCTCTAGAAGCCTAAGAGTCCCAGATTATCATAAGCCTCACTCAAAGGGTCCTTAGGAAATACAAGTCTGTTTCCAGGAGCTCTGCGTACTCCTCATACTGGGAATAAAGTGCTTCACAATCATCTCCTCATCTCTGGGCTTAGAGATGACTCAGTGATGCTCACTGTCCAAAGTTGGGCTGGATTTGTTTTGTATTTACCTTCAGGAGAAGAAGATTCAGCTACCTTGACACAACGAGGTAATTCTGACATGGAATGTCCTTAAGGGGCTTCCTATGGGCCATGAGAGTTGTTAGGGGGTATGGAGCCTTTGGCTTGAATTGTGAGTACAGAAAGACGCCATTCTTTTTGTTGTTGTCGTATACTGAGTGATTTTAAGCAAATCTTATAATTGCTCTTTGTCTCAGTTGCCTTATCTTACTCAGAGATACTGATAAACTATTATCACTATATAAGCCTATGTATATATTAAATATGAAAGACAAGATCAACGACTCTTCCATGGACTGGGAATATCTGTACTGCAGCATTTTACTTTTACTTGTCCCATGAATTTTCAGGCCCCACTTAGCAGGTCCCATGTAGAATCTATGTAACTGCCTATTCGTGGTTAAACTAGGTCTTTAGGATGATGAGCTATAGGATGTATAGGCTAGTCTTGCTCTCTTGTTGGGAAGGCAAAATCCCAGGATCCTCAACTTATGAGCCGGGCGCTGAGGGATGGCTTTCTCCCTTTTTCTCTAGAACCAAAGATGAGAACTGTAAAGACTTAGGTAGGTTCCATATGTAGAAAACAATCAGTGGCTGTTTTGAGGAAACTTTGTTCCTCCCTCCCCTCACCTTATAAAACATGTCCCCCTCTTCCATCAGCTTGCTCAACAGGATGATCATGATGTCTGGTTTGGAGGTGGCCATCGCCCATGTGGCTGGACCTGTAGTGTACAGGATGCATGATGGGTAAAAAACTCATACAATGTAAGGGTGGTAGGAAGCTAGGTGAAAAAAACATCCTGGGGGAATTTCTGCTGAGAGAACAACTTGCTCCACAACAATTTCTTCACCTGTTGGACCTGGGAGCATCTTAGGGACTCCCACTCCAAGAAGCTGCACTGGGCTGTATTCACCTTAAAATAAGAATATCTGAACCGTCTGAGTTTGCACCACAGGAGGGCAGCAGAGCCTGCATACTGATTTGGGCAGGCAGTGGCATAGTTTGGAGTTCTTTTAAGTAAGAAAATTGGGAGAAAGTATTTACGTTATGTCAGCATAAGATTTTAAATATCTAAAAAGAGTAATTTATTTTAGAATCTAGAACTCAAAGCCCCAGCTGTTTAGTGTGTTAATATTCAAATGTGTACTTTGCAGAGGGAAACCATTCAAGACTAAAGGCTCCCTTAATTTGTAAGTATCAAATAGGACTCCCGGGACTTACTGTGAACCAGGAGTACAGTCCCAATGTCAAATAGACTTGAGACAAGCCAACATTATTGAGGACTACTTTACCCCCAAAGAGAAAGAAAAGGTTAAATCGATTAGTTTACAGATGCCTGAATTATTTACCAACTAAGCTTTTCAGGGTTAGTTATGAAAAGTTCAAGTTATTCTCTACAACAGTCATTTTAAAAAAATCTTCTTTTAAGGTGAAGGAAATTAAAAGATTAGAGGTGTGGGGAACTCATGCAGGCTAAATCAAAGAGGAGAAGGCAAAGCTGACCAAGCCATCAGACCACGCCTGATGCTGACAGCGGTGAAATATACCTCGTGGGCGACTCGGTAACGTCTGACAACCTTCAAAGAAAGGAGAAAACAAAAAGTTGTAGGAGAGGAAAAAAAAAAATGGATGAAGGTGAAAAAAAAAAAAAGAAGGAAAAAGCAGCAGTGAGAGGCAGGCAGCAAAAAAGCCAGCATCTAAGCCAACCCTTGTCTACAGGTCTGTGGGTGGGGAGCAAATGGGGCGGCAGCAGCAGCAGGGATTTGAGAGTCTGAAGCACATACAGAGCAAGGGAAGCAAAGGCTCACGGCCGTGCAGGGATCCAGG